ATACCACATAGACATTACGTGAATAATACCACACATATTAGACATTACGTGAATAATACCACACATATTAGACATTACGTGAATAATACCACACAGGAATTACGTAAATAACACCGCATAACCACCACTCGAATAGCACCACATGAAGGACACTCACCACATGAAAAACACTTCATACCCAATACATGAATAACATCACATAGCCACCACATGAATAATACCACATACCCACCACATGAATAACACCAACCTACCCACCACATGAATAACACCACCTACCCACCACATGAATAACACCACATGAATAACACCACATACCCACCAAGTGAATAACACCACATGAATAACACCAAATACCCATGAATATCGAAGAACCCACATACTACCCACCACATGAATAAACCAATACCCACCACATGAAGAACACCACATACCCAATAAATAAACACATACTCACACCCCCACCAACCAATAACATAACATAAAAACCACATACCACATACCCACACATGAATAACAACCACATACTACACATACCCACCACATGAATAACACCACAATACACCCCACAATGAATAACACCACATACTCACATACCCCACCATAATAACACCAACATATCACATACCCACCACATGAATAACACCACATACTCACAGATGACACCACATACCCACACATGAATAACACCACATACCCACCACATGAATAACACCACATACCCACCACATGAATAACACCACATACCCACCACAATGAATAGCAACACATACCCAACAGCGCCCGCATCCTCCCACTCCCTCGCGCGTGCCCGTGTGTCACGTGACGAGCGTCGCCAAAGTTCAATCATTGTGAAAGCTCGTCTATGCACTTTTGGCTTAAGTGATTGGACAGCAAGATTTGGGCGTGTCTGAGCTTCATCCTTCGGCCGTTAAAGGGATGGGCGTGGTTCCTTGGCGGGGAGGAGGGGGGGGGAGAGGGCGTGAGGGCGGGCGGTATCTGGCGTAATATCGGCGCGGGCTGAACGCGTGACACCCTTCGGTTTTATGTCGGTTGCGTGGGCGTGGTGGGTCGCTGATGGGCGGGGGGGCGTGGGTAGGGAGGGTGGGTGGGCGTGAGGATGATTGAAGGGAATATCGGTTGAAAATATCTTTCGGGTATCAGGGTGGTGGCCAGATACCTTTTTTTTATCGTGATAAGACGGGTATTTTGCTCACACCCTTGGACTGCAGGTCACTTTTTTCTTTCTTTCTCTCTCTCTCTCTCTCTCTATCTTTCTATCTCTCTTTCTCTCTTTCTCTCTCTCTCTCTCTCTCTCTCTCTCTCTCTCTCTCTCTCTCTCTCTCTCTCTCTCTCTCTCTCTCTCTCTCTCTCTCTCGTCTCTCCTCTCTCTCTCTTCTCTCTCTCTCTTTTTAGGTTCTGACCTTCGTTCACACTTGTTCACTCTTTTTTTTTCTATTCTTTCCCCCTTTTCTTGGTTTTCTTCCTTTCACCCTTTCGTTATTCTTCCTCCTTTCACTTTTTTTCTTTATCCCTGCTCTACCTTTGGTTTTATTTCTTCTCTTTTTATCATTTTCTTCTCCTTTTTATTTCTTCTTCTTTCTACCCATTTTCTTCCTTTTTATTCTTCTCTTTCTATCATTTTCTTCTCCTTTTTATATCTTCTCTTTCTATCATTTTCTTCTTCTTGGTCCTCCTCCAACCCTGTTTTCGATCCTCTTCCTTCCACCCTCTCCTTGGTCCTCCTCCTCCCACTCTCTTCCATCCATCTCGCCCTCAAACTCCTACCTTTTGCCCTCTTCCCGACTCTCTTCCTCGTCTAATTCATCTCTTTTCTTTTTCTTTTTCTTTTCTTTTTTTATTTTATTTTTCCTTTTTCTTTCTCTTTCTCTTTCTCCTCTCTTTTCTCTCTATTCTATCTATCTATCTCTATCTCTATCTCTCTCTCTCTCTCTTGGTCTCTCTCTCTCTCTCTCTCTCTCTCTCTCTCTTCTCTTCCTTTTCTTTTTTAGGTTTGACCGTTCGTTCACACTTGTTCACTCTTTTTTTTTCTATTCTATCCCCCTTTTCTTGGTTTTCTTCCTTTCATCCTTTCGTTATGCTTACTCCTTTCACTTTTTTTTCTTTTTTCTTCCTCCTTTTTATTTCTTCTCCCTTCTTTTCATTTTCTTCTCCTTTTTATTTCTTCTCTTTCTATCATTTTCCTTCTTCTTGGTCCTCCTCCAACCCTGTTTTTCGATCCTTTCCTTCCACCCTCTCCTTTGGTCCTCCTCCTCCCACTCTCTACCAGTCCATCTCGCCCTCAAACTCCAACCTTTTGCCCTCTTCCGACTCTCCTTCCTCGTTCTATTTCTATTCTCCTTTTCTCTTGTTCTTTTTTCTTTTCTTTCTTTTTTACTTTTTCTTTTTTTTTTTTCTTTTTTCTTTTTTTCTTTCTTTTCCTCTTTTTCTCTTTTGCTCCTCTTTTCTCTTTTTTCTCTTTTTCTTCTCTCTCTTTCTC